AGCTTGAACCCTGCTGTCGATTTGGGCCAGGTCAGCCGAAAAATAAAAACCATCCAGCTGATCACTTCATCAAAGGAAATATGATGATCCTCTAAACATTATCCATCATTAACACAGGTGGAAGGTGCATTCATCCAAGGAGTAGGCTTCTTCACAAACGAGGAGTACACAACCAACTCTGACGGGTTGGTCATCCACGATGGCACATGGACATACAAGATCCCCACGGTCGATACCATTCCAAAGCAGCTGAACGTTGAGCTGATCAACAGCGCCCGCGACCAGAAGCGCGTCCTCTCTTCCAAAGGTGAGCCTTTTCTCACAATTCAATCCCCTCCACATTCCAAGACTGTGTAAGCTGCAATTTGAACTCACCAACAATTGCTGCCTGCAGTCCTGACATAACGTGCTTCGGATCTTTGTTTGCAGCATCGGGCGAGCCTCCGCTTCTTCTAGCTTCCTCGGTGCACTGTGCAATGAGGGAGGCCATCAGGGCCGCCAGGAAGGAATTCTCGGTCTGCACTGGTCCAGCGAACTCCGCCATCACGTTCCAGATGGACGTGCCAGCGACGATGCCTGTCGTCAAGGAGCTGTGTGGCCTGGATGTCGTGGAGAGGTACCTGGAGAGCATGTCCGCTGCTGGCACAACCACCACTGCTAAAGCATAGATCCAGCAGGCGCACTGCCCATGACGAGAGAGCTTAATCAGTCTGTGTAAAATACTAAAGAACGGCATGACATGCCGAGCTTGCCTGTGTGTTAGTTCTGATGTACAGAAGAGAGGTAGCAATGGCGAGCTGTGGCCTTGCGAATCAGGAGTTATGAACAATAGAAGAAAAAATAAACTAAATAAGTGTCGGGCAGGCGAACGTGTCGATGAAATCATGTGGTTTCAACTGGATTTTGAAGAAATTTTGCAATGGATCTTCATTTTTACTCCTAGGTGCGTACCTGCCTTCTGGGTACATGGGGATAGGATTTGTACCAGCCAGCTAGGTTTGGCCTTGCTGCCTTGTTGTCAGGGGCGGATCTGCCAGGGGGCTGCCGGGGCTCAAGCCCCCCTACCCTGGCCGCGTCATTGAAGCCCTCCTTAGCCCCTCATGAATTTTTCAGCCATTAACAACAGAGAAGAAGGTGCTGGAGTGCTTCCAACGGAGGTTGAAGATGAGTTTCGAGTTAAAGATCAGTTCCCAGCCCCTCTAAATGTATTTTCTAGATCCGTCACTGCTTGTTGTGATCTTCACCGGTAGCTACTCAATGCGCGCCTATTTGAACCCTTCACCGGTAGCTCTATTTGAACCCTTCACCGGTAGCTACTCAATGCGCGCCTATTTGAACGTGGCGTCACAGCTGAGATCAGACGCTGCTTGATTTCACGGGATGTGTCGTGTGTTCCTGCCCGTGACGCGTGAGAGCTGATGCTGTGAGGGGGTTGCCGGCTTGCTGCTGCCGTTGGGTCGGGCTCTGTGATTGGTCTCACAGTTCATTGCTAGGGACATATGCACCAATTAGCCGGGAATCCAAACATACACATGCCAACAGTTAGCTGGCAATTGTCTAATCTTTTTTCTCTCCTTTTTTTTTGTTTCATAAGATGTTGTAAGACCCTGGGTCCTCTTTTGTTCTAATAAATTCCAGTAGGGGCAACCTCTCTTGTTCTCTAAAAAAAAAAAGTTAGCTGGCTAATTTTTAGCTATGGCTAACAATTTGTCTTAGACGATCCAAACAAGCTCAATCTATATTCCATTAATGACACTATGGACAGAAGTTGATGTTCAGTGTTATAATCTATATCTATATCTATATTATCTTATATCTTCAAACCTCATTAGTAATTTATCTTGCCATGCAAAGTGTTCATATCAGCATCCACTAAAACAACCCACTAGCACATGCAACTATCTCCACTAGCAATTTATCTTGCCATACAAAGTGTCAACATGAGCATCCACTAGAACAATCCACTAGCACATACAACTATCTCATGCAAAATGTCCACATCAGCATCCACTAACACATCCAATCAACACATGTCATTATGTCTTCGTTTAAGCTATTTACATTACCCCACTAGCAATTTATCTTGCCATACAAAATATCAACATCAGCATCCATTAGAACAACCCACTAGCACATGCAACTATCTCACCATACAAAGTGTCCACATCAACATCCACTAACACATCCAACTAACATATGTCATTATGTCTTCATTCAAGCTATTCACGTTAGCAAACCACATCATTTACTAACATATACATTTAATTGTCCACATCAGGATGCTAAAAATCATCCACTAACCTATAGTATTGTGATATTTATTTATTCATATTAGTAAATATAAAGAGTATAATTTCACCTGTCATTCCCGGAGCAACGAGCGGACGTTCTTCTGGTTCTTTAGATTCCAAATTCTCAGCGTTTAGATAAGACTAGGAAGGAAGGGACACCTCGCCTCGTCAGTTACAACAGCTACAGCATATATGATTTCTACTACAAATTACTAAGCAAAGACATATCATCTAGTAATGCTATGGGCTAAATTGCTCCAACCTATTTGAACTCAGTCTAAACTAAGATGGGCCCTACTTGTAAAAAGAAATATATTATCCCTTTAACTTTCTCTCAAAAAAATAACGATGATATATTTATATCACTAGGTGCAGAAACAAGCAACCTTGTCAAGGAGGGGCTTCACAGCAGCCCATGCTCCAGCAAACGTTGAGAAGGCACACCTTGAGACAGTGATGTAGGAAAGGAACATGTACTATTATAACATATGAGATGCCTTATTGAACTATTTTCTCAGAAGATGTAGAATAATATTTTTCATGTTTAAAGCTTGTTCTAAACTTTTGCGAATAAATCATTGCCACAGAAAGGATAATTATTATGTGTTAACAGAGCCCTGCCATCAAAATTATGTGATTATGTGCCACTTTGCAGGCAATATAAGAATGGGCATGAGAAAAGTAACCATCATTAAGCAGGATTTAAGGCACTTGGAAGTTGGAACAGTGGATTACATATTGTGATAATCAAACCACTTAAAAAATACTACTGAACTCATATTCCAGCGACAATAGTTGAGAGTCCCATAAATGCAAAACTTGGTGTGTGTGTGTGTGTATATATATATTCAGTAGTCAGCTATAAAATAAGTTATTCTGTAGCCACCTCCATTTACGATAATTTTATATACTAATTTACGATAATGTCAATACATATTTACGATAGTTGTGTTACTATAACACATGGGGATATTTACCATAACGTTATAGTAAACCACTTAGTAAGAAGTTACTGTAATCTCGTAAATTAACATAGTAATTATCGTAACTCAAAGTGGCTACAGAATAAGTTATTTTTGTAGCCGGCTACAGGGTAATAGTTCTATATATATATGGTAGAGTAAACTGCACCGTGGGTACCTAAACTATTAGGTGTGTAACATATAGGTATTCAAACAAAAAAACGTAACTCGTAGTACTGGATCTACAATTTTGGCTCTCCAACGGTACTTGCGCAGAAAGGACCCAGATAAGGCTGGACATCTCACGCGGGCCTCTAGGCTGTTTTGCGAAAAACCCCCCCGCTGAATCATCTCCTTCTCCTCATTCTCAGTCCCGTGGCCTTGAAGCTTTGTCTCCCTCTCTCGCCGCCCGTCTGCCATCACGCCGCCCGTCTGCCTCCCACTCATGCAAGCTCGCCGGATCCCCCTAAGCTCGCCGCCGCACCCTCCCCCAAGTCATCATGCGAGAGTCGTCCGGCCATAGCGGTGTTGGGAGCTCTGGTTACCAGCGCCTGGCGGACCGCGGGGAGAAGATTGGGATGCCGCTTGTGCCCTGCCCCACATGCGGTGCGGAGGTCTTGGAGCTCGTCTGTGGTCCCGGATCTAAGGTCCCTGGGGCCGTTTTCTTCAAATGCCGCTTTCATGAAAGAGATGTAAGTGCATAGTGCCATTTTTTGCTGTAGGATTGGTGTTCTTGTCTTGTGATGTGGTGAACAATTTGCCTTGTGATGCAGGTGCCAGGAACGTGCCCGTGGTTCTTGTTTCAAGACAAGTATGAACGTTTGCTCGTTGCAAGGGGACTGATTGGAGGCACCAGAGAGGGAGGCCATGAACAACAAGTTGTGAATCATGATGAACTTGGAGGATTGCAGGGAGAAGAACATGCTGTGGAGGCACTGAAGAGTGGGATTGTTGGTTTGGATGCAAAGCTGAAGAAACTTGTAGACCTAGGTCAAATTGGAGTTGTGTGCTGTGTGGTTGCTTCAGTGTTTGTTGTTGTTGGTGTCATCGGCATGATGCTCAAGTAGGAGTAGGAATTGTAATGCAAATTTGGTGCAATGAACCTGATTCAAATCAGTTTGGCAATGAAATGGAATGTGTTTTGTCCATTCAAATCATTTTGGCTCATTGAATTGTGATGCATTGGTGTTTATTCAGTGAATACAATTGACAGATGTGAGCTGAACAAAGTGAACTCAAATAGCCTTTTTCACAGGAAATTTTGACAGCAACATTTGGCAAGGCAAGTTAAAAACAAGAGTAATTCACAGGCACCTAAATATGAGTAATTCATAGGCACCTAAAAACAAGAGTAATTCACATTTGCCAACATTTAGAGATTGATCCAATGACATATAGTCACTAAAATAGCATCCGTACATTAGAGATTGATCCAGTAACATATAGTCACTAAAATAGCATCCATACATTAGAGATTGACCTAGTGACATATATAGTCACTAAAATAGCATCCATTACATCTCAGTTTTGGTGCTTGCAGTACACATCCTACCCACCAGTGCACTACACCATACTAGCTGCATATGACCTATACCTATATGATCACTGCACAAAAGAAGGCAAACTTCAGCTGCTGAACAAAAGGCAAATGTATTTGCTCGACAAAAGCCAACTATCTGTGATGTACAAAAGGGCATCAACACACTCCATAATCCTTCCTACTGTCCAGCTGGACCTTTCTTGGCATTCACTGTCTTTTTTTTTGGTTCGCTGCTTTCTTGGTCCTTGATGTCCTGCCAGCTTTGGTAGCCGTTGTCATCTGAATTTGCCTTGCTGGTGGAACATTGGAAACGATGTAGGCTGAATCTGGTACAGGTTGACTGACTGGATGCTGTCTCATAGTCTGTGAGGCCTGGAAAGGGTCCAAACAAGTTTGTAAGCTAAATTGTGTGGGCCAAAAACAAAAATGATGATAATGAGGGAGTTGTGGTACCTCATCCAGTAGTTGAGACAGCATAGGGTTGTCTACTTGGGACATGGTTGCTTCTGTTTCAGCTTCTGCAGTATAGACCTCCTGAAACACAGATTCTAGTGAAAATAGGTATTTTGTACCAAATAAAGGGGACAGTCTGGTTGCACATACCTGATATTCTTCTTGATGCCTTGCTTCCTCATGTGCTTGTTGAACAGCTGACCTTTTCCTTTTCTGGACAGCTGGTTCTCCTGCTTCCTTTGCTGCACATCTTGCTACATTATGGTCAGGTTTTCCACAGTGACTGCAGTGCATTGTTACTCCATGTTTAGATAGCCTTGGTCCATTTCTGCCTTGTTGTTCATGTGGTGCTTTCTTCCTTGCCTTTGATGGCCTACCTAGTTTCTTCTCATATTTAGGTGGCTTCACTTCTGTGCCTCCAACATTTTGCCAATTAGTCTTGTCAGAGCATGAAAAAATTTGGAAGTTGTATGCATTCTGGAAAGCTTCAATGGAGTAACAGTGTGGGAGCACTGAGTCTTCTAGAATTCTTTCATGCTTAAGGCAAGCAATTGCATGACTACATGGTATGCCTATCAAGTCCCATCTTCTACATTCACATTTCTTAGCTGCAATGTCCACAACATACTTCCATTCTCTGTCATGAACCTCAAATTCCACTCCCACTAGGTAATGGGTAGCATGTGTTGGACATCTCTGCATGCCTAGCTAGCTTCTTTCTAATTTTTGGGCATATGACCATGTGTCCCCACTTCTCAGTAACCTCTTTCTGCTTGGTGTAGTGTCCGGTCATAAGTTGGACCTTGATCTTTGTAGCATGCTCAAAATAGGCATTCTCTCTGGCTTCCACTATGTAATTGTTGAAAACTTCACAAGTGTTGTTCAAGAGGATATCACACTTTGGGTACTCACTAAAGAAAGCCCTAACCCATGTGTTTGGTGGCATCTTTTCTAACCATGCATGGGCATCCTTCTTTGAGAACTCTCATTTTGTCCATCTCCTGGTTCCACCTCACCACTGTATTTAGCTCTTGCACACCTCCAAAGCTGATTCTTGAAGTTCTCTCCTCTGAATTAGCCTGAGAAGTTATGGTACAGAGATGTTCAACATGTAACCCGTGTTCGACTCGAGAAACACTTATTTGAACAAGAGGGATAAGACCTTTTGTTTTCTCTGTCATGATGGTCCAAGGAGTTGTGTTTTCTATGCCAAGGTCCTCTTTCAGTGTCTCTAAGAACCACTTCCATGATGTTAGGCACTCAACCTCCACCACTGCTATGGCCAAAGGAAAAATGCAATCATTTGGGTCTATACCTATTGCAGTTAGCAGCTGCCCTCCAAACTTTGTCTTGATGTGGCAGCCATCTAGACAGATAACAGGCCTGCAACCAGTGAGGAAACCTCTTTTGCATGCATCCATAGACATGTAAAGTGTACTGAAGAAACCATCAAGGCATGTTAGAAAGAAGGTACTGCCAGGATTTGTCCTCCTAAGTTCATGCCCATAATTCCTCAGCTCATTGAATTGCTTCACTTCATCCCCATAAATGATCTCCCATGCCTTCCTTCTTGCCCTACACAGCTTCATCCTAGAAATGGTCAGGTTTAGCTCTAGCTGAACAGTCTTCCCAAAATTGGTCAGGCTCATCTTCTCATCAGCCCTAAACCTATCCAAGTACTTGTTAGCAGGCCACTTTGCAGTGCACCTCTTCAGTTCCCACTTCTTCTAGCATGTGTGATTCCCAACAAAAGATTTAATCATGATACAACTCATCCTTGTGTCCCAAGAAGCATACAAGTACCATGGACAATTTACATCACAATGAGCTTTGATTCTTTTCTTGTCATTCCATGGCATCTTTATCTCCACCCTCTCTTTGATACTGTATTCTGAAATTGCCTTTCTAAGCAGTTCTATTGAATCAAACTTCATTCCTAACTTGAAAATTGGGTTTTCAATATCCTCTGGCCTGAAGGATGACATGTTAGCCCCAACCTTACCCTCTCCATTAGAATCAGGTAACTCCAACTCATCCTCATCAGTTGATATCTCATCCCATTGCCTTTCTGCCATGTTCTCTTTGCCAACTGGGGCATTTCTCTTGTACCCTTTGCTGACTACAATGCCCATACCTGCCCCCTCATCAACCACCCCATCATCAACATTGTCCCAGAAAAAATCATCATCCTCATGATCAACTTCATAATCACTATCCACAAAATCCCCATCCACACTACCATCATCGTCACTAGCCACAAAATCCCCATCATCATCATCATGCCTTTCAGCTGCTGGCTTCCCTGGATTGACCACATTGTCATCCCAGTCAGATGTCTTGAATGACTTGTAGATATCAAAGTAGAGCACAAAATTGTTAACATGGTATGCAACTTGCTTTATGATGAGTGTTTCTGCATCTGAATCTATAATTCTCAAACCACTAGACACAACCATCTCAGGCAACAACCAGAGAACAGTGAGCTTCTCAATTCCATAACCTAGCATCACACTGATTTCTTGAATTGAACTAAAACGCCAGTGCTGCACTTTGCAATTGTCAAACCAATCCACCTTGCCATCCAGATAAACCTGATCCTTAACAGACCCACAGAAAAATCCCCCATGATGAACTTCTACAGAGAACTCCTCATCAGGCCCTAAACAGTGAACAAAACCCTAAATTTCAGAGCATTGTGACAAGAAACCTATCTCTACATCAAATTGAAGCATTACGACACCACAATGATCCAGAATGAACTACATGGACAGGAGAGTAGCCTTCGTGGCACTGACCATAATCTGGTGCTGGTGCTCCTTCCAATCGACGGACGCCGGCCATGGTGCCGCGCCGCCGCGCACCATGCCTCACCGCACCGGATGCGGCGGGGCAAACCCCCCAGCGGACCTCACCCTCTCAATGCGGCGGACGGGCGGCGAGAGTGGGAGGCAGACGGGTGGCATGATGGCAGACGGGCGGCGAGAGAGGGAGACAGAGCTTCAAGGCCACAGGACTGAGAATGAGGAGAAGGAGATGATTCAGCGGGGGGGTTTTCGCAAAACAGCCTAGAGGCCCGCGTGAGATGTCCAGCCTTATTTGGGTCCTTTCCGCGCGAGTACCGTTGGATAGCCAAACTTGTAGATCCAGTACCTACGAGTTACGTTTTTTTGTTTGAGTACCTATGTGTTACACACCTAATAGTTTAGATACCCACAGTGCAATTTACTCTATATGGTAGCATGGCTTGTGCAGAAATGCGCAATTAAAATAGATTTCAGTGCATGAACAAAAGCAAAACAAAACGGTTGTTGTTGACAATATAATACAACAAATAGTAATTGTATAATATATAGCAGACATAGCACATAATTGAGCATGATTTGAAATTGTTTAACATATATAAATACAAACTGTTTTCAACATACAAAATGGAAACATCAAAATATACAGTGGATTTGAAACAACAAAAAGATAAACATTGGCGAATCAGTAAATTACTCTAAGCAAGTAACCAACTATGACTGTCTTAGCCACTATGTCAGTTTAATAGGCAAATTGCAATGGATAATATATGTAAACTGTAAGCCAATTAACCAAATTAACTTACAATTTGAATTCATTCGCCGGTTAGTCATCTACTCCAATCAGCAGCAAGCCTCCGGCCGCCAGCCTCCCAGGTCCAGGCTCACAGCAGTCCCGCGCTTCTGGCTGCTGCCTCCGTGGCTCCGCCTTCCACTCAGTGCTCCAGCGCTGCAGCTTTGCATGTGGCCGGACGGCATCCCGTTGCCGCGTTGCGCCCGCCGCCGCCACGCCGCTGCAGGTGCTGGGCGCCTCGCGCCCTCGCCTAGAGTGCCCGCTGCCGCGCTGCGCCCGCAACTGCCACATCGGAGTGAGCCGCCTGTCAGTCCGCCGCCTACTCGCCAGTGTGCGCCGGCCGCCCCCTAGGCAAGCGTTTTTTTTTTTTTTTTAAGCATTTTTTGTTTTTTTAGAGAACTAGGATAGTACCCGTGCGTTGCAACGGGAACGACCACCTGATCTTAGCTATGCTCACGGAGATCGTCTTATCCATGCTGCCGCTGTCCCACCCGCGACTCCAATATCTGCACGCCGCCAGTTCTCCAAGAGTCAAACCACATATATTTTGATGATAGGTAAAGTGTCCGTGCGTTGCAATGAAAAAAAAAATGACATCATGATTCAAGTTTACGTGGTCTGTACAGTTAAAAAGATACTTTAATTGTGATGTCCACAACTTTATAAAGGATGAACAATTTGAATATATAACTCAGGTTTTTTTCCCCATGCTGAGATCATGTTGCAGCGGGAGAACATGAAGGATTATTCGTGTGCTGCAAAGATAGATAACACAATAACAAAAGCTATGCATTTAGAAGAGTCAAAACGACTTACAAGTTAAAACAAAGAGAGTAGTAAAGATCTGATCACATGTTTCTGCAATGGAGTAGATCCATGAACAATACAAATTTCAATGAAAACTCCATTCCTATTGCGTAGATTGTCTCACCCTCCTACACCGTGAGGAAACTTTTAAATAACATGCCTCTTAATTCAAATATAAAATTGCTATTTTCTACAAAATAAAGAATTTCAAGGGTTAAATTAATATATAAATGCATAAGGGATGCCACATTTAAGCCATAATTAAATTTATGATACGGTCATGGAACATTAATCATAGTTGAAAGAATAAACACTTGATTGTGTACATTGCACTCAAATTTATGAAAGCTGCATCTAAAATTCTAAATGGCTAGACTGAATAAGGGAAGTCCATAGAACTTGAACCTAAATCCCTCATGCAACTCGAATATAAACTCTTGTACATGAATGAAGGCAGTGTCCCATACATGTCAGGAACAATATTTGCAAATGCGGGGGAGGCAAAGCGAGCGGGAGTGAAGGGAGCTAGTTTTGACGATTGTCAGGCTTTTTAGGAGTAGAGATAAGACAAGATCCTGACCTTGGCTGCAATAGTGAAAAGAGATTAGAATTCTGAGAAAAATAATGTTAATGAACAAGTACCCCTCTATAACTATAAAGAGGAATATTTCACCATCTCCTTGAGTATCTTCCAGAATCCTAAGGTGATGCACTGCTAGCAAGCTGTAGAATCCAAAGGTGAAGATGGACTTCGCCTGGGAAACAAAGATGGCAGAAGCATTAGGAGGTGATAACTGATAAGGAAATAAGGAAATGCAGTAGAATGGCAACAACAATGGAAATCGGTCACACTTTTTCTCATGAGTGCATCAAGGTTATTCTGACCAAAAGAGAAAAAATCGTGTTGCTACTAAAGCACAGTAGCAGCATAACAGAAGATATCACCTAAGTTGTTTAGATTGCATTGGAGATATCACCTTTGTGAACTGCAATCTTTTCATATTTACATTCAAACTAATACAATATATGAGACAATAAAAAATGCACAGCCATAAACATACTATATATGATAGTTTCTCATTATATATAAATACTTCATATATGGTGTATATTTGGTTTCTTCAGCTCTTGTCGGGATCAGAACCTAGAAGTACCTGGCAATATCAAAGCCATATCTGGGTACTGACTGGTAAGCCTTTCTGAGTTCCTTAAAAAAATAAGGAAGTCAACCCATCATAGGATAATTTTCATACACATGAAAATAACAGTGGCACACTCAAAATTACTTTTGGTCAGAAGATTATGGTAACTTTGTTTTCCATTGGAAAAAGACATGGTGCTATATTACTTTTGGTCAGAAGATTACAGTATGTTCTGAGTGATAGCTCCGGCGAACTGAATGACATTAGTGTGTCGGACCTTCTCCATTATAGTACAGTCAGTTCATGCCTGAAAACATAATTGGTTGAACACAGATATTTGTTTTTAAAAAAAAAGCTGGGCACAGATATTGGCATCTTACAGTCAGGTCCTCCGCCGCTGATCCCACGCGGCTCTGGCTCTGGCTCCGGCTGCGCCACTGGTTCGTGTCCATGGATGACTCCACCTGAATGCATCAAATGCAGAAGTGATTTCAAATGGTAGATTAAGGTGAAAATGGCCTGAAAATGGAAATCAGAAATAAATGTTGCCTCACATAGATAACATGAGTAGTAGTGAATTTGGATGGTTCTATGAACCTGATTTTCAAACTTCAAACATTTGATTCTCAAACGTCAAACATTTGCAAACTTGGATGACCATTGATTAAGCTACAACCCATTTATAGCCACTAATGAAAAGCTGCTTCTCCTTAGTACGAAGAACACTTGGAACCCTCCTCATGAAGCACTGGAAAAAACAAATAAAAAACATTTAACACGATCAGTATAAATCTCTTATCATCTATTGTTATTATACAAAAAGTGGAATAAGTCCGATCAAAATTAATTTTATTAAACTGCAATTGTACTTGGGATTACGAGGTGAATAAGTCCGATCAAAATTTATAATTTATTAAACTGCAATTGTACACAGGATTAGGAGATCGATGTCTTGCATATGTACACTTCTTTTGTGTATCTATTTACAGAAGCAAGAAGAATATAAAAAACATAGATGTTCTACCTATCCTAGGCATCCACTTCAAAATATTTTATCAATTAGCAGATCATAGTTCGAGAATCATCAACCCAGTAGTACATGACTTCAGATTTTAGCAAAAGCAAACAGCAACCACCGGAGAAGAGAGACAGGAAACAAACGCTCACCTTGCGTCCGCTTTGTGTGCGTATATGGCCGTTGGCCGCACCGCCCGCTGTCGCACACCCGGCCGCTGGTCGCGCTCCCCGTCCACTGTGCGTCACCTTCGCCTTGGATTGGAGAGCTCCGCCGCCGAGTGACCGACTGGATCTGAGCGCCGTGTGCGTGTCTGGCCGCGGGGAAGGACGGCAGGGACAGGGGCTCTAGCAATGGTTTCGGCCGAGAAGTTGACTGCGTGTCTGCGTGTGTCGTATGCGGGGAAGGAACGCACGCGGTGATTGAAGACGGGATTCCTGTGATTGAGGAGTAATTGGTGATTGATTTTCTTTTCATTTTGCTGGATGGATGACGGGGGAGCCGGAGGCTGCTATCGCGGGGAAAGGGAGTGATTGTTAGGGGAATTGATTTTTTTTCCTTCTGATTTGCTGTGGTGGTTATGGGAATTGAGCTGATTTCACGGAGCGAATACGTGTTGTCTTTCTGATCTGATCGCATAGAGCGGCTTTAATATTGTACTTGTGGATGTAATAGTTATGAATATTTTAGTTATAGAGATAAAATGGGAACGAGAAGAAAGAGGACGAGAAGCCGCTGGCCATGCAGTGGGGTGGCTGGGTGGGATGGTTTGCATTAACTGTTGGATTAAACATTTTTAAACTGCAATTTATATAAAAAAAAGAGGACTAAACTTTATGATACGAAATTAATATATTTTGAATTTTTGATACAATATAAACCACTCTCCCTATTCTAAATTATAAGTAATTTTTATTTTTTCAAGAAACATAGTTTGTACTATACCACCATCTATCCCGAATTATAGGTTGTTCTGTCTTTTTTAATACCTAGTTTTTACTATGCACTTAAATATACGATGTCTATTTATATACTATAAATTGGAACGGAGAGAGTACTAGATATACACTGTCTATAAATATATAATAAAAGCAATGTATTTACAAAATCAAAACATACTATAATTTAGAATAGATAAAGTGTATTTTTATGATATGCTCATTTGAGTCACAAATATTTGTATCTTTTTTTCTATAAATTCGATTAAATATAAAAAATTAACTTAAGACAACTTTAAATATTAGTTTATTTGAAGATAAAGACAATATCTTTTAAAAATTGGTTCTATTTCTTAATCTGTTTGGGCTAATATATTCCTTGTGATCAAGGCTCTGTTCGGCTGGCTTGAAAAACGGTTGATGCTGATACTGATGCTGATTTGTTGTGAGAGAAAAACACTGTTATTTCGCTGAAATGGTACGGCTGATAAGTTCAAGCGAACATGGCCTAATCTGCAAAAATGAAGACCCATAGTGACTATGTCTTGCTGATAAAACTCGTATTAACATATGTGGTCTGAGTGCCATACCCATGATAACAAAATTTGGCAAGTTTAGCACGTGATTTCTTAGGTGTTTGGTTCGGGGTTCATGAGATGTGGGTCGAACCCACTAGGGAATATGCTCCCTAGATGCGGGTCGGTGCGGTACCACCGAATTGGCCGGATCCACTTGACCTAGGGGGAGCGAGAGCGGGGCGAGTGGCGCGCCCTCCCAAGTGGTGCGCGGCAGCGGTCTCCCGGCGAGAACGAGCGACGAACGGCCTCCTGAAGCAGGTCCCGGAGCGATGAGCGGCCTCCCGAGCGGCGAGTAGCGCGCGGCCTCCCAGATGCGGTTTGAATGAGGAAGAAGGGACAGAGGCTTGCTTATAGGCCTCACATGTCAATGACATAGCCCACTTCAAGATATTCCCCAAACCAAACACAAAACTGAAATCTACCCAACCTCATCAACCAAATAAGAGATGGATTCAACCCAACCCACGAAAAGTTCAACTTATCCCACGTCGTTCCCAAACCAAACACATGCTTATATAATCAAAACACCTCCTACTCTGCTAAAATCTGGCCACGAACAAATTTCAGCTTGGCACACGAGTTGTAAACCAAATTAGCATGTTCCAAATGCACAGCAGGGCGCAGCACGCGCGAACCGTCCGCCGCGGACATTTTCTGTCGCGTGCCGCCGCCGGCTGCGCGACTCTCACTCCACCCGCGCCCGCCGCCCCGCCGTCGGTTCGGTGCGTGCATGGTGCTTCCACTTGTCCCGATCGCTTGCTGACTTGTCGGCAAGGCGGCTGCTACTAGCAGTAGCTTGATGACCAATCCAATCCCGCTAGGGCTTGTTCAGTTTCCAACCAAATTCTTAAAAAGTGCTATAGTTATTATCACATCGAATCTTGCGATATGTGCATGAAGTATTAATTGTAGACGAAAAAAAACTAATTGCACAGTTTGATGGGAAATTACGAGACGAACGTTTTGAGCCTAATTAGTCCATGATTGAACACTAATTACTACATAAAAACGAAAGTGCTACCGTAAACAAATTCCTAAAATTCATGAACTAAACACAACCGTAGACGCATCACATCAGCCAAAATGGTGGGTGGTGGCATTGATCCCGCAGCTCGACGGGCCTGCAGGCTGCACCTTGGAGTCCGCTTTCGCGTCCAGGCCGCCGGCGACGTCAGCGCTTGCATGGACCTCACCAGGCTCTCGCTGCTGGCTGCTGCAGCCTGCACAAGTGCATGTACAGGTCGGGAACTCGCCCGTATAACACTTTATTTACATCCGTTGGAAAACTGTTATAGGAGAAACAGTTTTTAGTTTGATCAAATTTACAAAAACAGACTAACATTTATAAGATCGAAAAAGTATTATTAAACCTATTATGAAATATATTTTCATAATATATCTATTTATAAACATAAATATTAATAATACTTTCTATAAATTTAGTCAATTTAAACAAGAATGACATTTTTTTAGGCTACGGTAATGGTTAGGGTATCTCCAACAATACCTTAAAGATCCTATCAAGAAAAAAAAAACAATACCTAAAAGATGATCTAAAAAACTAGTTTTGCAACCGTTCCAATAATATTTCAAATAAAAGGTAAGATAGGCCATCACCAACAACAGTTCCAATAGTCTACTCCTAAAAAATTAAAAAGCATGTTCGCTTAAAGGTTTTTTTTTTTTTTGCCGCCACCATTGTCCCACGGTTGGCTATCCTTGGCATGTAACTCACACCCATAATCTTTGCTCTACTTCTAGTATTCTCGATATGAAAATAATGTCTAGGATCCAATTATGGTAAACCTGTGGCAATGGGGGTGACCGTGGCCACCGTTCTCGTCACCCTAGTATTCGTAGTTACAAAAAGAAAAAAACAGTGATTGAAGATTCAAATCTGACGAACCTCCTTGTGACGGCGGCGATCGGAAAAATCGCCGCATGGAGTAGCGGTAGTCCACGTATCTTTACATGTGGATGTGTTTGTTTTTCCAAGCATATTAGGATTAGAATAAGAGCTGTCGGAGAAAAAAAATATTATCCATCCTGCCAATAAATCAAATTTGAGAGTGGTTGATGCTCCTACTTTCTTGCTTTCCGCTTTCTTGGCGAGTGGGAACTGGGAACGTCGTGTCGTCGTTCGTGGAGTTGGCGGCGTGCGGACGATTGACTGCTCGTCCGAGAGACCGAGGCCCGTGTTTCACTTTCATTTGGGCCTGCGTCATTGCCGACGTATATATTATATAAAATACTATATAATAATAAATATATAAATATAAACAGAGGGAAGGCACCCTGATCGGGGTGCTGTGCACTGCAGGAAGGAGAGGGCGGTGGTTAATTAACTGGTTAACATCATCGCTCGCGAGGCGGCGGAGATGGGAAAGGAGGCAGCAGCGAGCGTAATAGAACACACTTGTTGGGCTGTGTTTAGGCCAGCATCACGGCTCACGGCAACATCAGCGTCTGGAAGATCGGATGTCCGCCCCCGAGCATTTCCGTATGCGTATACTCACATTTTGGCTTGTCCTAGAATTGGTATGGTAAATATTTGGTCTTCAACCAACCAGACTCTAGTAAAACGAATGGTAGTGTCAACTGTCAAATTGGACATAAAAAATAAAACCAGTATGTTTATCTTCATATAAAGAATCGAGTTATCTTTAGACTTTAGGTGTCAAATAAGAAACCTTCTAATTATCGACGGAGGAAACAAACGGGTCCCTTCAAAGTCCAACCCATGCGTAATACATAGCAATAGACGGAGGGAGGAACTTTACTGTCAATATACTGTATAGATCAACTGCAATACACGGACAAACGGCAAGCTCGCGTGCCCGGCAAACCGGAGGAGACCGAGCCCATACGTGTGCAGGAGGACCCCGCGACACCTCTCCACTGGCTTCGCGTCGCGACTCACGAGCCACGACACACGGGTGGCGAGACGAACGCATGCAGTGACGACGCAGCCTTTTTCCACTCGTCGCTGTGCGCCGGCTGACCAAACGCTGAAACCTGAAATGCACTGGCAGGGCAGGGCAGGGCAGCTCGCGCGAACCGTCCGCCGCCGACGTTTTTGCCCGTTCTGTCCACCCGCGCCAGCGCCTGTCCAAGCGCATCTCTGACCTCCCCGATCGCTTGCATTGCTGGCTTGTGGCCTTGTACAGTTGTACACTTGTACTAGTAGTATCTTATACGACTGAAAAAATGCATGCTGATTGGATGCTCGCTAGTCCAATACGCTGGCTGGATCATTTCCGTATTTGTTTTTTTGCAAAGCATGCACCGGCTACGTATATACTACTGCTACATCACATAGAGCCAAACACTGGGGGCACGGGCACATGCGTGATGCCATTGTCCCGCTCCTTGACTTGTTGACAGGCCTGCACTGCAGCTGCGAGGACGCTTTCGCATCCTGGACGCCGGCGACGTCAGCGCGTGCATCAACATCACCACCGCCCGGCCGGCTGCAGGAGCAGGTCGGGGACTCGTATAATTAAACAGGACGGCACCATCGATCGGCTCCCCAGACCCAGAGGTGCTGTGCTGTGCAGGATCGGAGGAGATGGGGAAGGAGGCAGCAGCAGCGGAGTCGTCGTCGACGGTGGTGCTGGCCGTGAACGGCAAACGGTACGAGGCGGCCGGCGTGGACCCGTCGACGTCGCTGCTGGAGTTCCTGCGCACCCAGATGCCCGTCAGAGGCCCCAAGCTCGGCTGCGGCGAAGGTAATATATATGCTATTTCCGTTCATGCCTAGCAGCATCCGAGCGAACACAGAAAGAGAAAACCATCCAAGGCTCCAAGCGCACATGGCAGCTGGTTTTCCTTCGAGTCTCATGCATGTCTGCGTGCATGGGCATTCTCCAGACTCAAGTTTCGCCAACGGTAGATTGCAGAGGGCACTGGAGATACCAGTGCCTTTTCGTTTCCTGATCATGGATGGCGCTGGCGCTATCTTTCGTCCATTTCCCTTTCATTGGATACAGCTTCCATTTTCTACATGTTCCTCATGTGTGTGTGTGTTTTGGCTTGGGATATCACCATCTCACGGATTACAGGATTCTTGTTACGCGTTGCTAAGGCCAGTCTCAATGGAGTTTTATGGCCCAGTTATCAACACACTCATATTTTGGAAACAATGCAGAAGAGTTTCATCCCCATAAAACTATCTCTGCTCCAATAAAACTTTCATCATCTCTCTTTTCATCAATATAGTGCCATATCAGCATATTTAATGCCCATGAAACTTTCATAAAATCACAATTGAGATTGGCCTAAGGTTAGCAGCGATGAAATTCATCATACATGCATGCAAGAAAATTAATCAAGAGAATTAATTAATAAAAAATATTTCATTTATGTAAAGGAAAAAGGAGAGATTAAAAAATTATGCTAACGGATTTTTATTATCTAATGGCTTAGATTAAATCAAAGAGTCTATGTTTTTTTTTTTGCGAACAAAAAAACTTTATTAGAAATTAAGTAATATCCTTACAAGAGAGGGATACAATCCACTCTGGAAAACAAGAGAAAAAAAAACACTGACAATCCCTAAACCTAATAGCAAACTGCGTCAATTCATGAGCCAATTTATTCTGCTCCCTGCTGATCTTAACTGTCTAGCTTGCATAAATGGCCACCCACAGCACGCGTCTCATCGATGACTTGCCACAGGATGGAGCAATCACGGCCCGTGGCATGGAGCTTGAAACCACCGTTTGGCAATCTGACTCAAGGAGCATCGGGATATCTATCTAATATAATTATGAGATTAATCCACCAAAATAGAAAAGAAAAGAAGACACACGCTGTTGGATTTTATGACGATCTAACATCTTAGATTAAATCAAAGAGTCAATATCTAACATAATTACGAGATTAATAAAAAAAAGAACCTACATCGTTAGATTTAGGATAATTTATAACTGCTTAAATTAACAAAAAAAAGTCCATGTAAAGAAAGTAAATTCAAAATAATAAACAAATTAAAAAAAACAATTTTATTTTCATATAAGTTGGAAAGAAAATACCTAAATACATATTCCATATGAAACACAATTGCTAAAGGCAAAAAAATCTAATAAAAATATTTTGGTTTTCAAATTAACGCAAAAGAAAAAGGTACCTATATAATTAGTCCTTGTAAATTATAATTAGTAAATAGCTAAATTCAATACTAAAATTTATAAAGTAATAATTTTATTACTTTGGAAACAGTATCTAAATGAAAAGTTCAATGTATTAATAAGTAAAACTCCACATCGATCATATAAATCTATATTACGACAAACTAGATTTATCGAAAGAATTAAAAAATAAATAATGAAAACTCCAATAAAGATAGAATAGGTATGGAAATAGGTAGTAGTGGTAGTGTAGAATTCAATCAATATTCCAACTGGAGTTTTTCATATAGTAATAAAAATCAAGAAAACCACAAAAACGTTTTAGGAGCGATTATAATCATGCACAACAGCTATACAACCTGAACATTAATGTGTTGGCATGCCCATGAAAAATTATTGAAGCACATCGGATTCACACATCACTTCTATGCTCTACGCCTCGTCATTTGAATATGCCTTCTTGGTTTCTTGTCGTGGCTTTAAGCTCGACAAGTAATTTTTCCCGGTGTTAGCGTGGTGGGGAAGTTTTACATCTCCAATAACATGGTTGAATGGAAATAACCAAACAAAATGTTGATTCCAACAATTGTGGCTTAAATCTCACAACTTTCATGCCAGTGACCTAGGGAAAAGAACATATTCTTGTGACTGTATTATGACTAAGTCATGAAAAATATATTGGCTTTTGATACCCTACATGTAACTGTTCTATGGATTCTTTGACGCACATGCGAGAGAAGTGTTCGTAGCAGCAATAAACATCATTCGGTTTTTATCCTCACGAGAGGCTTATCACTAACAAAAATAGATGTGGTCAGATCATGGCGGACAAAAATGCAGTAGAGTGGCATGGGTAGTAGGCCTAAAATCAACACATCACTGATAGGAAAAAAATCTATCTACATTTTCATTCACTTGAATTCATAGATCAATGGTTTACGGTTACCAACTCGCCCCTAGGTGGGTTCTAGGAATGAGAGCACTCATGTATCGAGGGGCTTTAGCACAAAATGAAGTAGCTAGCTAGCTAACTAATAATCTATGATGGAAGGACGGGGCTAGGTCAATAAAATCATTGAAATACCATAGGCCCGAAAAGCAAGTGCAAGTCATGATAACCGGAAGAAATGCCTACCATGTGCTGTACCGATGTACAACCAAGACTAAAATTTAGACTAGACCCTTTATCTTGGGCTAGTTCCGAGTAAAGATTCTTTTGCCTACATCGATTCAAGTTCCGACAAAGACAGGGAGGGAGCTAGTTCTAGATCATATAAAAATTAAATTCAAGAAGGGTAAAAAAAAACTAAACAATTTGTGAAAGACTTAAAACGATAGTTTTATTGGGAATCAAGCGGAAACCAAATCCTATCTTGATTTTCCACCAGTAGAATAAGCACGGCCATGAGTAGTGGGATAAGAGAAGATAAGAAAGAGAGAGAGAGAAAAAAAGAAATTCATCCACAATAGCTATATGGACCTCATGCTAATGGATGCGATGAGATGCATGGAGAAAAAACCAATACGATAACAAAACTATCTTCAAAAGATACAACAAAATTGTTTATATAGAAGGTATTTTCAACTAAGAAAATTCTAATTGTTATAATGAGGAAACACTAGTTGCCCGTGTTATTAGCGTGGACCATCTTGTTGACAGTAATAGCTACAAACTCAATATGATGTGCAATACTTTTAAAACACTAAACTATCTGCATTTTTGTTTACACTACAACCAATAGTGCAATACTAATAATTTGACTGATTGCTAAATAGAATGTACAGAGTTTGACTGATTGCTAAATAGACGCCCTGCATTTTTTGATGGAACGGATACCGTCCTGTATTTGTTCTAAGGCAGCACTGGACAAACCGTTTTAGTTCAAAAGAATAATTATGTTTTACAAAAATCAGGTATTATATTTGGGACATACACAGGAAGCTAATACTAAAAGAAACTGGGATTATCTTTTGAGCTATACTTTTTTTATATAATAACGAAGCTACAGTGTGAACTTTGAACGACCAAGTGCACTTTTCAAACTGGAATTAGCATCAGCTTCTACTTCAATCTAGTGAAGATAAAAGAGCTAAACTCCTCCACTTTTACAATTTCATATGTGGCAGGTGGCTGCGGTGCATGCGTGGTCCTCATCTCCAAGTACGACCCGGCCACCGACGAGGTGACTGAGTTCTCCGCTAGCTCCTGCCTGACGCTGCTCCACAGCGTGGACCGTTGCTCGGTGATCACCAGTGAGGGAATCGGCAACACCAAGGATGGTTACCACCCCGTGCAGAAGCGCCTGGCTGGCTTCCACGCCTCTCAGTGTGGCTTCTGCACGCCCGGCATGTGCATGTCCATCTTCTCCGCTCTCGTTAAGGCCGACAAGACGGCCGGCTGCCCTAACCCACAAGCAGGCTTCTCCAAGCTAACCACCAAAGAGGCTGAGAAGGCTGTCTCAGGCAACCTTTGCCGCTGCACCGGTTACAGGCCCATCGTCGACGCCTGCAAAAGCTTTGCCTCTGATGTTGACCTCGAGGACCTGGGCCTCAACTGCTTCTGGAAGAAGGGTGACGAACCGGCAGAAGTCAGCAAGCTGCCCGGCTACAACAGTGGCGCCATCTGCACCTTTCCAGAGTTCCTCAAATCTGAGATCAAGTCCACTCTGAAGCAGGCGAATGGTGTTCCAGTTGCAGTCTCCGATGACGGCTGGTACCATCCTAAGAGCATTGAAGAGCTCCACAGGTTGTTTGATTCCAACTGGTTTCATGAAAATTCTGTGAAGATTGTGGCTTCAAACACTGGGTCTGGAGTGTACAAGGATCAGGACCTCTATGACAAGTACATTGACATCAAAGGAATCCCAGAGCTTTCAGTCATCAATAGAAGCAGCAAAGGAATTGAGCTTGGATCAGTTGTGTCCATCTCTAAAGCTATTGAGGTGCTGTTAGATGGAAGTTTGGTCTTCACAAAGATTGCTGATCACCTAAACAAAGTGGCTTCACCGTTTGTTCGGAACACTGCAACCATAGGTGGAAACATAATCATGGCACAAAGGTTGCCATTCGCATCAGACATTGCAACTGTACTACTAGCAGCAGGTTCGACAGTCACAATCCAGGTGGCTTCAAAAAGGCTGTGCTTCACTCTGGAGGAGTTCTTGCAGCAGCCTCCATGTGATTATAGAACCCTGCTGCTGAGCATATTTATTCCGGACTGGGGTTCAGATGATGTCACCTATGAGACTTTCCGAGCAGCACCTCGTCCACTTGGCAATGCTGTCTCATATGTCAATTCAGCTTTCTTGGCAAGGACTTCAGCAGATGCAGCATCAAGGGACCATCTGATTGAGGATATATGTTTGGCATTCGGTGCGTATGGAGCTGATCATGCTATTAGAGCTAGGAAGGTTGAGGATTACCTGAAGGGCAAAACAGTGAGCTCATCTGTTATACTTGAGGCTGTTCGGCTGCTTAAAGGGATTGTTAAACCATCAGAAGGCACAACACATCCTGAGTATAGAATCAGCTTGGCTGTCAGTTTCTTGTTTAGCTTCCTATCCTCCCTTGCCAACAGCTTGAATGAATCTGCAAGGGTTAATGATCCCAATGGTTCATATAGTAATGTAGACACAAATGGTGCCATTGAGCACTCACCGGAGAAGCATCTTAAGTTCGACAGCAATGATTTGCCAATACGATCAAGACAAGAAATATTTTTCACTGATGAATACAAGCCAGTTGGCAAACCAATTAAGAAAGCCGGGGCAGAGATACAAGCTTCAGGTAAACAATCTTATTGCAATACACAAATAAACATATTCATAAGTTCACCATAGCCTTTTTCTTCAGCATACTCCGCAAAGACATCATATAATGATCCTTCTATTCATTTCTACCTCGTTAATTTTTTTTCTCTCGAATACCCAAAACTGTGTATCATTGTATTAATAGTAGAGAAAAGGAGTATACAGAGACCCAACCACACACACACCCGCTTACTGACTGAAACTAATCGCCTATGACAGAGATGAACGACCTGACCAAAGACCCTCTAACCATCATCCCGAGCTGTGTGCAGGGACAGTCCCTTAGCACCAGCTATAGACCATAAAAGGGCTTCGTCCCGAGCCAGGTTCAAAGCCGTAGATAGTCTAGGGGTAGCTCCATTGAAGACACAGTCATTTCGATGCTTCCAGATGGTCCAGGCGCCTAGGATGATGAGGGAATTCAATCCCTTTCGCGCATCTCCGCTTACTGTCAAAACCGCCTTATCCCATCAGGCATCAAAGGAGGAATCGACTGGCTGCGGGGCAAGTGTTGCACAGCGCGGAACTGTCCAATAAGCTCCATCCCTGAACATTTTTAGTGCCTGCAGTTTCTCCACAAGATAATGCCCTTAACAATATTCCTTTTACTGACACAGGGGAAGCTGTGTACGTTGATGATATCCCTGCTCCCAAAGATTGCCTCTATGGAGCATTTATCTATAGCACACACCCTCATGCCCATGTAAAGGCTATCAACTTTAAGCCATCTTTGGCTTCGCAGAAGGTCATCACAGTTATCACTGCAAAGGATATTCCCAGCGGTGGACAAAATGTTGGTTACAGCTTCCCGATGTTGGGAGAAGAAGCACTTTTTGCAGATCCAGTTGCTGAATTTGCTGGTCAAAATATCGGTGTCGTGGTAATGTTTCCTAAGTTCCCTTTCACATTTCACAAATCTATTCTTATGTTTATGTCTTTCCAACCTTGCTGCATCATGTTGGTTTTTCAATCACTCAGATTGCTCAAACACAGAAGTATGCCTACATGGCGGCAAAGCAAGCCGTCATTGAGTATAGCACAGAAAATCTACAGCCACCAATTCTGACAATAGAAGATGCAATCCAACGAAGCAGCTACTTCCAAACCCTGCCGTTTTTTGCTCCAAAGCCAGTTGGTGATTACAACCAAGGGATGTCCGAAGCTGATCACAAGATTTTATCAGCAGAGGTGCATACATTGTAATGTTTAAAGGGGATGTATACTTGACCTTCCCATAAGGCCAAACAACTCATGCTTGGTTTTTTTTTCTACAGGTAAAAATTGAATCCCAATACTATTTCTACATGGAGACACAAGTGGCGCTAGCTATTCCTGATGAAGATAACTGCATAACCATCTATTCTTCAACACAAATTCCCGAGGCCACACAAAATGTGGTTGCAAAGTGCCTTGGCCTTCCATTTCACAATGTCCGCCTCATCACCAGAAGGGTCGGAGGAGGCTTTGGTGGAAAGTGTTTGAAAGGAATGCATGTAAGCCCTAAATAACTAGAGGTCATGCTGAACTTTTCTATTTTCAACTACCAATGTACTGCCAACTAATATTCATAATGTGATCAGATTGAGACAAAAATTGCTATAGATGACTATGAATTTCCTCTTTGTCAGGTTGCATGTGCATGTGCGGTTGCTGCATTCAAGCTACGGCGTCCAGTTCGGATGTACCTCGATCGCAAGACAGACATGATAATGGCGGGCGGTCGGCATCCTATGAAGGTGAAGTACTCCGTTGGGTTCAAGTCAGATGGCAAGATCACAGCCTTGCACCTTGATCTTGGGATCAATGCTGGAATATCTCCGGATATGAGTCCAATCATCGCAGCACCTATTATAGGTTCTCTCAAAAAGTACAACTGGGGCAATCTTGCATTTGACACCAAGGTCTGCAAGACAAATGTTTCATCAAAATCGTCAGTGAGGGCTCCTGGAGATGCGCAGGGCTCTTTCATCGCTGAAGCCATTATTGAGCATGTTGCCTCAGCACTTTCAGTTGACACTAACACCATAAGGAGGAAGAACCTTCATGACTTCGAGAGCCTTGTGGTGTTCTTCGGAGATAGTGCAGGTGAAGCTTCTACATACAGCCTTGTCACCATGTTCGATAAGTTGGCCTCCTCTCCAGAATACCAGCACCGAGCTGCAATGGTGGAGCACTTCAACAGAAGCAACAAGTGGAAGAAGCGTGGCATTTCTTGTGTGCCAGTTACATATGAGGTGCGGCTTAAGCCAGCTCCAGGCAAGGTGTCTATCATGAATGATGGTTCCATTGCTGTTGAGATCGGAGGGGTTGAGATAGGCCAAGGGTTGTGGACAAAAGTGAAGCAGATGACGGCATTCGGATTGGGACAGTTGTGTCCTGACGGTGGCGAAAGCCTCCTGGACAAGGTGCGGGTCATCCAGGCCGACACATTAAGCATGATCCAGGGAGGGGTCACCGGTGGGAGCACCACTTCTGAAACTAGCTGTGAAGCAGTTCGACAGTCGTGTGTTGCGCTCGTCGAGAGGCTGAAGCCAATCAAGGAGAATCTGGAGGCTAAGGCTGGCACTGTGGAATGGAGTGCCTTGATTGCTCAGGTGAGGATAAGCTTTGTAAATTCCAATTTTCTTATTGCCATGCCAAGAAGAACAATTGTTTAAAGCTTTGTCGCCTTCCTTTGAGACATCAACGAACGACAAGCAATAGCAGTAGCAATTCAGTGAGGAGACCCTACAGCTCGGACGAACACAATATTTGTTAGTATTTCAATTGGCCATGTCATTTTGCTAACCACTTGCAGGCAAGTATGGCGAGTGTGAACTTGTCGGCGCATGCATACTGGACCCCTGATCCAACTTTCACAAGCTATTTGAATTATGGAGCTGGCGTTAGCGAGGTACCCCTTATCCAAACTGCATGAAAAAGCAATGCAAGCGCAGTTAGCAAGCCAAATCATTGGAGGCTGCAGCTTCAGCCCTACCCAATGCTGACACATGATTGGAAATTTCATCACAGGTGGAAATTGATGTCCTGACAGGAGCAACAACAATTCTAAGGAGTGACCTTGTCTACGATTGCGGGCAAAGCTTGAACCCTGCTGTCGATTTGGGCCAGGTCAGCCGAAAAATAAAAACAGCACCGGCTGATCACTTCAAAGGAAATATGCTGGCCCTCTAAACATTATCCATCATCAACACAGGTGGAAGGTGCGTTCATCCAAGGAGTAGGCTTCTTCACAAACGAGGAGTACACAACCAACTCTGATGGGTTGGTCATCCACGATGGCACATGGACGTACAAGATCCCCACCGTCGACACCATCCCAAAGCAGTTCAACGTTGAGCTAATCAAGAGCGCCCATGACCAGAAGCGCGTCCTCTCTTCCAAAGGTGAGCCTGTTCTCACAATTCAACCCCCTGATATTCCCACATACTGTTAGCTCCAATTTGAACTCACCAACAATTGGTGCGTGCAACCCTGACATAATATGCTTCGGATCTTTGTTTGCAGCATCGGGCGAGCCGCCGCTTCTTCTAGCTTCCTCGGTGCACTGTGCAATGAGGGAGGCCATCAGGGCTGCTAGGAAGGAATTCTCGGTCTGCACTGGTCCAGCGAACTCCCCCATCACGTTCCAGATGGACGTGCCGGCGACGATGCCTGTCGTCAAGGAACTCTGCGGCCTGGATGTCGTGGAGAGGTACCTGGAGAGCGTGTCAGCTGCCAGCCCAACAAACACCGCTAAAGCATAGATCCAGTAGGCGCACTACCCATGGTGTGAGAGCTTAATCAGTCTGTAAAACACTAAACGGCATGACATGCCGAGCTTTCCTGTGTGTTAGCTCTGATGTACAGAAGAAGAGGTAGCAATGGCGAGTTGTGGTCTTGTGAATCAGGAGTCATGAACAATAGAGGGAAAAATAAAGTAAATAAGTGTTGGGCAGGCGAATGTGGGGATGAAATCATGTGATTTCAACTGGATTTTGAAGAAATTTTGCAATGCATCTTCATTCGTACACCGAGGTTCGTACTCCTTACCTTCTGGGTAGATGGGGGTCGGATTGGATGGACCAGCCACCTAGGTTAGCCCTCGCCGCCTCGTCGCGACCTTCACCGGCAGCTTCTCCCCCGCGCGACCTTCGCGAGGGAGTGTGGCGACCTCGCGCCTATTCGAACTAGCGGAGCGGCGGCGGGGCTGAGATCAGACTCTACTTGATTTCGCGGGCCGCCGCCGCCGCCAACAAAGACAGTCTCGGGTAACCGGCGCTGTCGGCTGTTGCTTCTTGCTTCCTGCGACTTTGGTCTCTCTTGATTCTCAGTCGGGTTGATCAGAAGCGTTGACTTTTGATCTAACGGACGTCTACGCACGCAGGTCGCCGCTTTTGTTGATACTGCCTCACGCAAGACTTTAAATAAGTGTACTATGAAAAATTAGTATGATAAGCATTAGTGTATTGTTTATGTAAATTTAGTCACATTTAAGATAGTTTGAAAGAGCGCTATTCTAGACTTGTGTTTTTTTTAGTAAAAAACACAGAGGGAGTACTAATAGTGATGGATGGACTCATAATTATATGCCCTGTTCGTTTGGCTGATAAGCCATAGCTGAAAGTACTGTTGGCTGATTTGTTGTGAGAGAAAAAATTTATTCGTTCGCTGAAAGAGTACGGCTTATAAGCCAAACGAACAGGACGATAACTTTTACATTTTCAGTTTTGTGCTTGAGGCCTTGAACCTAGTGTCTACTATTAAGGATATGTTTGATACCTATGGCTAATTGTTTGTCGCTAAAAAATAGCTGAGATAAAAAAAATAGCTATAGATGGTCCACTATATAACATTGACCTTTTTTATTCCCCAACTCCACACTTTGTTCAATTTCTTTTTTTTAATGAGTTTTACCTCAGCTTTTAAGAAAGCAGGTGATACAACCATCCACTGGGGTTACCAGCACCAATACAAACCAAAGCACCATAGAAGGCACTGACCAGAGTACAAACGATACTGAATTGAAAGATGGAAGCTAAACAATTAAAGTTCAAATACATCAGTAGGCATCTCCGCATTAGGCTTGAAAGACTTCCAGTTCATAACAGCGTCCTTCACTTATACAAAGCGCTTCCTGTCTCCTTCCTTAAGCATGACGCTCCATTTCTATATCAGGGAGAGTGCGACATATATGACATCAGTAAGCATTTCACTTTGTCCAATTTCATAATATAAGGACGAAAAAGGCCATTGGGAGAGAAGCATAGCACGAGGCGCCAGAATAGCGGCTTGGGAGGTTCTAGCATGGGCAAAAATTGCCATAAGATACTTAGAATACAACAAATCCACCATGGCCTGCTGCTGCAAAAAAGCTTAAGGTGTCGCACAAGACCTTAGGAGCAAAATAATAATTTTCGTTGGCTGTTAACGGGCCTGCTTGATTGAAAGTCAACTTTTTCCAAACTAAAATATGAGCAAGTTCAAGATATTTGGCATATAATTGGTCTGGTGCCAAAATTTTGACAATACCTTCAAAAAATATGACAAGACATGCTTCTCTGGTTGGCAACAAACCAAGTACGAACATTGCTTATCTTACTAAAATATTGATTTGCCCTAATTTGTATATAGGGAGGGCTAGCGCCCGGACGTCCGGCCGTAGGACGTGTCCGAACACTGCTCCATAACCCACGTAGCGCTCATCCAGCAGCCTCGTGCCTTTTTCCCTAAAAAAAGCCTTGTGCCTCGCTAGCCGATGTGGCCTATCCGCATCCGCAGGCCATCCCCATCCGCAGACCAACAATGGCCCTGCCCCTCAACCGTCGCCCTACACCCAACTTGAGCACCTAGAAAGGGAAGGACCCACGTGCCGGACCTCGCTGGCGGTGCTGGAGGCGGAGGAGACACCCAGGTGAGGCAACAGAAGGCGAGAAGGAAGATACAACACCCGATCTACTTTCAAAACATTCAGGTGCAACACTTACAACATATGTCTTAAGACTGATAAAAGACTTAAACATGCGTCTGAAACATTTGCAAAAACACCGAAAAACACTTGAAACCATTGTAAACATACACAACATCCAGATAAAACACTTACAACATATGCGCGAAACATATGCAATATCTAGATAAGCACACTTGCAACATATGTCTGAAAAAACAGATAAAACATTGGGAACAAAAGCTTGCAACATATATGTACAATCATTGCAACATACGCAACATCCCGATTTACTTTTGCAACATCCATATAAAACACTTGCAACATACCTATAAAATATCTGAAACACTTGAAAACATGTGTTTTGCAACATAGGGGAGGCTAGGGCTGGTCGAATCCAGCCGTTGGGGTCGGAGCCGACGACGAGCGGCAGCGCGAGCACCACCAGCACCAATGCCATGCGAGCACCACCACCACCAGTACCACCAGCACCAGCCTTGGCTCGGCCATGCGAGCAGCGCGCGCAACGGATGGAGCAAGCATCACCAGCATCAGCGTCAGCTGACCGGTGGAGAGGAAGGATGGTGGCAGGCGGGTGGCCACCGCGACGAGAGCAGTCAAGGCACGAGGCGGCGGTGCTTCGGAGTTTGGGACCCCACCAGTGAAGGGTGAGGTTTCCGTTCCCGAGAGTAGACATCGACCGAACGATTTTCCAATAAAAAATACGAGCATAATAGAACATACTTGTTGGGCTATTTGGGCCAGCATCACGGCCCACGGCAACATCAGCGTCCGAAAGATCAGATGTCCGCCCCTGAGCATTTCCGTATGCGTATACTCACATTTTGGCTTGTCCTAGAATTGGTATGGTAAATATTTGGTCTTCAACTACTCTAGTAAAACGAATGGTAGTGTCAACTGTCAAATTGGACATAAAAAATAAAACCAGTATGTTTATCTTTCATGGTCATATAAATCGAGTTATCTTTAGACTTTAGGTGTCAAATAAGAAACCTTCTAATTATCGACGGAGGAAACAAACGGGTCCCTTCAAAGTCCAACCGATGCGTAATGCTCCCTCCGTCCCAAATTATAAGACGTTTAACTTTTTTGACCTCAAATTTGACCACTCGTCTTATTCAAAAAATTTGTGTAAATATAGTCAAATTTAAGTCATTCTTGAAGAACTTTTATTAATAAACCAAGCCATAACAAAATAAGTGATATTTTGCACAAAATTTTGAATAAGACAAGTGGTCAAACTTGATGTTAAAAAAGTCAAACGTCTTATAATTTGGGATGGATCGAGTACATAGCAATAGACGGAGGGAGGAACTGTACTGTCAATATACTGTATAGATCAACTGCAATACACGGACAAACGGCATGCTCGCGTGCCCGGCAAACCGGAGGAGACCGAGCCCATACGTGTGCAGGACCCCGCGACACCTCTCCACTGGCTTCGCGTGGCGACTCACGAGCCACGACACACGGGTGGCGAGACGAACGCATGCAGTGACGACGCAGCCTTTTTCCGCTCGTCGCTGTGCGCCGGCTGACCAAACGCTGAAACCTGAAATGCATTGGCAGGGCAGGGCAGCTCGCGCGAACCGTCCGCCGCCGACGTTTTTGCCCGTTCTCTCCGATTTTTTTACATTTTAGCATTTTTTTTAAAAAAATTCTCATAAATAGACCCCTGGAGGAAAGTTTTCAGAATATGGACCCTTAACTCGGCGCTATTGATGCTGGTGCCGAGCTAACACGTCCCGGCGCCAGCGTCTCTGGCGCCAACCTCCCGGGCTCGAAGCTAACATGGCAGGGAGGCGCGCCTCCCTGCCATTTAACCCGGCCCAAGCTTCGTGCCCGAGCGTTCTTCCTTTTCTTTCTCCTCTCTCTCGGGTTTTTTTTCTCCCCACTTCACCCTACCTTATGAATCGGCATATTAGACCTTGAAAACTTTTATTTGATTCGTAGATCTTCGAGAGCAAGGTATCCTCACTTTCCTCCTAGTTTTTTTCACATCGATTCGATATATATTAGTCGGATTTTTGAACGTAATAATCGTCATCATTTAGGGTTTCATTCTATCCCTCAATATATGTATTATACAACCGTAGGATAATGCTAAGGCGTGAAAAAACTAGCAAACCTAGGCACATGTAGTTATGTTATAGGTTCATTGTTGTGCATCAAATAGAAAACTCTAGGTTTAGGGTTTAATGTTAACTGCTTTCGGTTCTTAGAAAGAAATCGGTTGTATTGTAGTTATGGTTCTCATTGACATTTATTTGTGATGTTTTGATTTATGTTTGTTAAATTACATCCGTTTTGTTATATGCAAGAAATGTTTCGGGAGGAGTTTTGGCGAAAACGGGGTCGTCCTCGAGAATTATACACCGACGTGTCTAGCAAAGATGTCCCCGTCCCTCCTAACCTCCCTGTGCCTAACTGTGTCTGTGGTTTCCCGACCCATGTTTTTCAATCGAAACATTCGGACTCAACGGCGCGTTGCTTCTACACATACTCCCTCCATATCATATTTAGATGACGTTTAGGACATGAGTACGCTTACCAAGGAGAGATTAATTAGGAAGTAATTTTCTATGTCTACCCTTATTAAATGGGGCTGCAGTTGTCCCCTGTACATAAAAGATGCGTTGCTCTAGTGGCTAGCTCTTGGGTGCCCAGCGAAGCAGGTCGCCGGTTCGAGTCCCCGCAGCTCGCTTATTTTTTATATGTGATGCATTTTGCATGGCACTGTACACGAATGCATTTCGTTTGCCGTGGTGGCTGCTCGTGCGCGCGCGCGTTTTGGCCGTC